GGGGGGGGGGAGGAGACGGGGAGTGAGAGTGAGATGGCAGCTGGGCATGGGGGTGCAGGCCCACACATTCTCTGTGGGATGGCGGTGTGTGTTGTGGCGACTGGGCTGTATTGTGTACAATGTGTGGTGAGTACTGACCTGTGGTTCAGAGGCTGATGGATCAGATTCTCTCCTCGTGCACTGGGTAGCTGGTTGGGAACGGTGCAGCGGTGAACGGCCTGGACTCAGCAGCAGCGTTTCCCTCGCACTGTCCTGTTCAGGCTTGGTCCTCACTTCATGGCTCTTTGGGCGAACAGCTACTGCTTCAACTCGATCTAGGGGACGTAGTTCCTCTGGCTCCTCGTCCGTTGTTCCTGATGAACTGGCCTCCACACCAGGCTGGAAGTCTTTCAGTTCAGTCCTGTCGATGATGACCCAGTCTTTACTGTCAAAGTCCTCCTCCTCAGCCAGTGGCACTGAACGGAAAGCTGTGCTCAGAGCCTCATGTTCCACCGAAGCTGAAGCCTCCATCTTACCATTGCACGGCTTCTCTGCTGGGATCTGGCCCATATTCACAGACAGCAGCTGGGCCTGCTGGGAAGAGTACACTTGTCGAGATGGAGATCCCATATAATCCATACGTGACCTGGAATCCAAGATCAGACCATGTCACAGAGAAACAAAACATGTGACACCAAAGTAAGACCAACACAGCTGAAGAGAAAGAACGAGCGCAAGAGAGAAAACACAAGCAGTGCTGGAGCGAGAGAGAAAGACAAACCAGGAAACTACAGGCCAGTCAGTCTAACCTGAGTGAGTGGTGGGGTAACTATAGGAAGGAATTCTGAGGGACAGAATTAATCTGCACAGAGAGGCACAGGGGTTAATCAATAACAGGCAGCATGGTTTTTGTGAAGGTGACCAACTTCACTGAATTTTCCCAGAGGTGACCAGGTGTGTGGATGAGGGCAGTGCATCAGTCCGGCTTTAGAGAAGGTCCTGCATGGGAGACTGACAGCGAACCTAAGTGTCCATGGGATCTAAATTTGATCCAGAATTGACTGAGTGCCCAGAAAGAAGGGGGTGATGACAAAAACAGAAATTGCTGGAAAAGCTCAGCAGGTTTGGCAGCATCTGTGGAGAGAAATCAGAGTTAACGTTTCAGGTCGAGTGACCCTTCCTCAGGACTGCCAGACCTGTTGAGCTTTTCCAACAGTTTCTGTTTTTGTTTCTGACTTACAGCATCCGCAATTCTCTTAGTTTTTATTTAGCAAAGGGTGATGGTCAAGGGCTATTTTTGTGACTGGAAGTCTGTGTCCAGTTGGGTCCCACAGGGTTCAGTGTTGGGGCCCTTGCTGTTTATGGTTTATATAAATTACCAGACTTAAACGTAGGGGGATTGACCAGTAAGTTCACAGATGATACAAAAATTGGCATGGTGGTAAATAGTGAAAATTACAGGAGAATATAGACAGGCTGGACAAATGGGCTGATCAGTGACAAATAGAATTCTGTCTAGCTAAAGGTGAGGTGATGCACTAGGGAAGGACAAACGAGGCCTGGGAATAAGTGGTGAGCAGTAGGACCCTGGGAATTCCTGAGGATCAGAGGGACCTCGGTGTGTATGGACACCGGTCCCTTTAGGTAGTGGGACGGGTGGATAAAGTGGTTTAGAAGGCAGATGGGACACTTGTCTTTACGAGCTGAGGCATAGAGTTTAAGAGCAGGGAAGGTTATACTGAAATAACAAGGTGTAGAGCTGGATGAACACAGCAGGCCAAGCAGCACCAGAGGAGCAGGAAGGCTGACGTTTCGGGTCTGGA